CTGAGTACGTGAGTAGATGTGCTGTTTGTCAGCAGGTCAAAGCAGAAAGGAAGAAGCCGTTTGGGTTGTTGCAGCCGCTTCCCGTTCCAGAGTGGAAATGGGAAAATATTACCATGGATTTCGTGTACAAGCTTCCGCGTACACATAATGGTTTTGATGGTATTTGGGTGATCGTTGATCGGCTCACTAAGTCGGCACATTTCATTCCAGTGAGGGAGAAGTATTCCTTGAGCCGATTAGCGGAGTTGTTCATTTTGAAGATTGTGAAATATCACGGTGTCCCGATGAGTATTGTCTCGGATCGTGATCCACGATTTACATCTAAGTTTTGGGTGGCTTTTAAGGAAGCTTTGGGTACAAGACTACTCTACAGCACGGCGTACCATCCTCAGACAGACGGACAGTCAGAGAGAACTATTCAGACTTTAGAAGATATGTTGCGAACTTCGGTGTTGCAGTTTGGTGATGCTTGGCACCAGCGTTTGGATTTGATGGAATTTGCTTATAATAATAGTTTTCATTCGAGTATTGGCATGGCGCCATTTGAGGCATTGTATGGTAGAGCTTGTCGCACACCGTTGTGTTGGTCAGAGGTTGGAGAAAGAGTCTTAGTGGGTCCGGAGATTGTTGAGGAGACTACTCAGAACGTTCAGGTAATCAAGTCTAACCTGAAAGCAGCCCAGGACAGGCAGAAAAGCTTAGCAGATCGGCATGCTACGGACAGAATGTATGAGGTCGGAGATTGGGTATTTCTGAAGCTTTCACCGTGGAGAGGTGTAGTGAGATTTGGGAAGAAAGGCAAGTTGAGTCCCAGGTACATCGGACCATACATGGTCACAGAGCGAGTTGGTGAGGTAGCTTACAGGTTGGAGTTGCCTCCGGAGCTAGCCAGGGTGCATAACGTTTTTCACGTGTCTATGCTCCGACATTATGTTGCTGATCCGTCTCATGTAATACCTCCGCAACCCTTAGAGATTAACCCAGATTTGACGTATGACGAGGAACCAGTGACGATCATCGATTGGAAGGAGAAGGTTCTAAGGAACAAGACGGTGAACTTAGTGAAAGTTTTGTGGAGGAATCATTTAGTCGAGGAAGCTACGTGGGAGACAGAAGATCGGATGAGGGATTTGTATCCTAGATTGTTCTTCGACCACTAGGGGTTGTTATTTGGTTGTTTTGAATTTCGGGACGAAATTCTATTAAGGTGGGTAGGTTGTGATGGCCCGTCCCAAAATTCATGTTAACGTACGTGTGAAATTACAACTTTGCCCCTAATTCGTTTTGTTATGTTTTTGGTTGCTTGGTGTGGTGTTGGCAGGTGTTGGGCCACACACACACTCTCACTGTCTCTATCCCTTTCTCTGTCTCTTTCCCTGTCTCTCTCTCTCTCTCCCGAGCTCCCTTTCTTCTTCTTCTTCCTTCGAACTCGTACGGACACACATATAACTACACTAAACCATCATAGATCGAAGAAACTAAGGGCACAGTCGAGGTCGTGAGGTCAAGGAGAGCACGATCATACCATTTTCAGGTATGAAATTTGTTGTTTTCACGTCGATTCGACAATGGCAGATTTGTGTACTGTTCATGCAAACATTGATCTAGCATGTTTTTGGAATTTTGAAGTTCATAGATGTCTTAGTGAGGTTCCCAGGAGCCTCGGAGTACTTCGTTGGACGAAATTGGACGTTGGAATCGCCTGGTTCGAGCTTGACCGGTTTTGGAGGTTGGTGACAGGTGAGTTTTCGTAGGTTTTAGCCCTTAAAACTTGTTTGGACGTATTCTACTAGTTTAGGGCTTCATTTTGGTGTTAGAATCATGAAAAACGGTTGAAAAATGAACGAGAAAACTCGAGTTGCAGATTTTCCCAATTTCCGGCGCCGGCGACGTCGCCGGAGACTCGCTGGAGAAGGTGACGGAATATTCCGTCAATTCTGACAGAATATTCCTAACGCCGTTAACGGAATCTGTCAAAACTGACAGAATATTCCTAACGGCGTCAGTTGACGCCGTCAGCGTGCCAGGCACGTGCCTGCGCGTGGTCGGCGCGTGTGGTCGTACCTTGGCCGGCGCGGGCGGCGGTGGAAAATTTTTCTAAAAATATGGTTGTGATCCTGAGGTTGTGTAGAGCACGTTGGTATATTCAATTGTCCATTTTGAGCAATGTATGAGAAGTTATTTTGAACGGAAGGTTATGTGCTTTAAAATTAACGTTTTTATAGTATTTTCGCATATAGGTGATACGTATCCCGAGGACGAGCGTGCTCACTCGAGGCAGGGGGGCTACGACCCTTCCACATACCAGTGAGTGGGCTTTTGGTTTTCCGTATATACCTATATACATATAATTCCCAGAAATTTATATAAATGCTTATTCGTTATATGCCATTCCTTTTATGTTATTGTCGGTTATTATGCATGATTAGTTGCATTTATATATATGTGTGTGTATGTATTGGTGCTGTGGACGCACAGGTAAGTGCCAGGTGAGTGGTGATTTACATTTATGTTTAGTAGTGATTTGAGATACATAGAGAGCTCATAACCTGCACCCCCGGTGTTAGTGCTCCCGCCCAGAGTAGGGCACAGTCCTTCACGTGATGTTCACCTCCCGCACCACACGCTCAGCTTGGATCCAAGTTAGGTGCACAGTCCTATCGTACAGACCACTATAGGTGGTTCCGACTCGTAGGTGACCCGTGATGATTCGCACAGCCTTCACGTGATCGTAGCACTAGAGCGTTTATATGTATTTACACCCAGGCCTGTCGTACAGACCACTATAGGTGGTTCCGACTCGTGGGCAGGTTTAGTGATTGAGATTAAGATTGGAGCTCTAGATTCAGCCGCACAGGTCACTTTAGGGGACTCCGGCTGCCAGTGATATGTTATTGATATGATTTATACCTGAGCACTTGCATATCATTATGAGGCTTTGACATGGCATACCTTTGAGCATGATTGGCATATTTATAAGTACGTGTATATGTTTATTTTCTGGGAAATATACAGGTTTTACAGCGAGGGGTTAGAATATTGTTTTTGAAATGGTTTTCAAAGAACTTTGTTTTGCCCACTCATGCTTTTGTTTTGCGCCCCTCTAGATTCTAGTGGTCTAGCAGGTTCGGTGGTTTTCCCAGAGGGCGTCCTGGCATTTCTGACAGACACTCACCAATGTAGGGTCACCTTCGGGTGCACTGTTGTCGCATCATTTTAATTTGGACTGCTGTAGGCTTATTGCTCTGAACTTAGCGTCTCTTTTACGCTAGCACACTTACTTTGACCTTGTATGCTAGTTTTTAATTACTCGTACTTTTATATTATTACTTTTCTACTAGCTTCCGCACTGTGCACATGGCTACGTCACTTCCACGTGACGGCCAGCACGCCCTGATCTCGGTCGGGGTGTGTCAGGAGGACTTAAGATCGAATGGTGGGTGACCACAATTTTTTTTGACCACGAGGTCTAGGATAACGGGACTGATAAATGTGAGCTTAAGTTTGTTGCATAATTAGTTTCGTCTCGCGTTTGCGTGCAAGAAATCATTTGAATAAGGATATTTTATCTATCAAATTTGTGTGACATTTTGTAAGGTTGAACTCAGCATTTTATATAGTAGAATAAGGAAAGAATGTTTCATTTGCTTTCTAGCTTAGTTGATCTTATTAGTCTCAATCATATTGTTAATGGTTAATTTTCAATTAGGTCTATGACTCTGTTATCTTTATTCCGAGTTCACTGATGCAATTCTCCCACCATGTCATTTGAATGTCTCACAGATAACACAAAAATCTCTACTGTTGCTTGGTATCAATTTTACCCTCAATTAGTCATGTGGTGTCACTAATCCGCGTGCTATAATATAGTTCGAGGAAAAAATGTTTTAATATTCATGAACCAAACATAATGTTAATCTAAAAATATTTAAATTCCGATATATAATTAAAGTTTAAGTGAAATTTGATTCAAATATTTTTTTTTAAATTATTTTAGATGTTAGATTTAATTTTGAGTCGTCAAATCCTTTTTTTTTTTTTTTTTGTTTTTTTTACCATTAGAATTGATCTCATTTGATTACAGCCGTTAGATTATAAGTAAAAGACAAAAAGATGTTTAAAATATGACGGTTTCGTATGTCCAGAATAGTTTAAATCAAACTTAAATCTTGGAGGGAATTTAGCCTAAAGATATATTTTCTTCTCAAAACTTATTTTAGCCTAGTGGTTAGAGATGGTTTAGGGGGCTTTAAAGCTTATATTTTAAGTTTTATCCCGTGGGTTGGAGATGGTCTAATTAGGAGGGCTATTATTAGTTTAAATTGTCTTTGCCTAGAATGATACTTAAGAATACTAGATCGTATTATTAAGGGCTGGTTTGATATCGCTGTGCTTTGAAAAAAAAAAATGCTTTTGTCGTGTTGTGAGAATAAGCAGCTATGAAATAAAGTAGCAGAGTGTTTGGTAAACTTTTTTTGTAAAAATGCTTTTGAGAGGAAAAAAAAACAATATTATAGTGTTTGATAAACTTTTATGTAAAACAAATGTGAAAAAAAGTTGGTTTTTCAAAGTTGGACTTTGCAGTTTTGTGTTTTTGGCTTTTTTCACCCAAAACTGTGAAAAAAAACTGAAGCTGAATATCTACCAAACACAAAAAAATCCCAACTTTTTTTAATAGCCACTTTTTTCAGAATTACCTCGGTACCAAATTAGGACGAAGTGGTTGGCGAAGGCTGTTATTGGTTAATTAGTTTATAAATTGGATATTCCACCCAATTTCCCTTTTAAGTTTTTCACAATAAATCTGGGGATGTGATATCTACCCATCATATTTTACTTCTTACACATTTTTTTAATTTTTGACCTTCAGATCGGATGAATTGAAAAAGATCAACAAACAAAAATTATCAAGAAGTGTGAGAAGTAAAATGGGGTGTGTGGATAGCACACCTCTAAATCTGAAGAAATGTTCCATCTTTTTGGTACACACAAAAAAAAAACTCAGAAAAAAGTTTAGAGAGAGAGGGAGAGGGAGATAGTTACCAAAAAAAGCTCAAATGATGGTGGTGGGATGAGATGAGATGAGATAGTCAAACTTAAGCAGCTCAGAGGGAGGCCAAAGCAAATCAAACGTGCTGTAATTTGCATTGGAAAACCCAACCGAACCGAACCAAACCCAACCTCCTCACAAGAAGTCGGAATCCGAGGTTCTTGTCTTCTGATTATTTGCTGGTTTTGTTGTAACTTGCAATTTTATCTCAAATTCAAAGTAGAAACCCAGCAACTTCTTCAGGTGAGTTTTCGGTTTTACTTTCTTTCTGTGTTCTTAAATTTTTACTGCAATTCTGGAATATGATGTTATGATTTCTTTTTCTACTTTATAAATAATTTTGGGTGGTAAATAGAATTAAGCTGTTTTCTTGAATTAGGGCTTAACTGATCCATTTTTACTTGAATTAAATTATCATATGTAAAACGACCCATGAACAATTATTGACTTGTTTTTTTTAAGGGAAAATTATTGACGTAATATGTGCAGGAACTTGTAATTATTACTAGTATCTTTTTCTTAGCACAAACTGTAGGCATCAAATTTTGGAAATATCATTTTGTACAAGCGTTCTTTTGTTATTCGTTGCAGAAATTTTCGTGCTTACAATTCATATTTGAATTGTAAATTGTTTAGATGCCATTGTTTTCAGGGTTTGGTTAGTCTGATACGTTAAGCAAGCTTATTGGAAATTCGATTCTTATCAGAGCCTTGGATTGAAAATGAGAGCGATTGCTCAATCTATTCACCAATGTAGATTGTCTTTGCGGCATCAAGCATGTCATTACTCAAGTGGTTTTGTGACAAGGCAGAAGCCGTTGGTAAACACCTGTGCTGGCGTTGCTCATCAATTTGCTAAAAATGGCGAGCTTGATATACTTCCACCCCCCACGCTTATGGTCTCAAGAGCTCTGTCAATTGATGCAGCTCAAGTTACTAATGGAGGTACTTCTTCTATTTTGGGTAGTCTTAGTTTGTAAAGAAGCATTCTAGTGTAAGTTTTGATGGTTTTGAGTTCAATAGCAGATGTAAAAAAAGCGGGGCCACTTGTTGAGTATGAACGAAGAATTGCTGCAGGGGAACTTGTTGACGGTGATGCGTACCAGGTACGGAAAACAACTCGGTGGGTGTATTCTTTATCAGTTTCATATGTATAAATGAGGAATTGGTAAGAATGAAAACTGTTTGGTATCTTCCTTCATTCAAAATTTGAAGTGTTAAATGGCGCAGTGACGGTGCATGCAAACCTTGGAAGTCAGCTTCTTGTTTTCACATACTGTTTGTTTGGTTTGGTTGAACAGATAATGTTTGTTACTGGACACTATTTAGAGGGAAATTATCCCGTAATTTGGTTCAGAAGATTTAAACTTTCGGTCTTATTTAGTAAATCATGTGTTAAATGTGGGGTGCTCTGGTTGGATAACAGCTGAAAGAACTGTACTATTGCTTAAGACAATTAATATGCGTTCTCTATTTATTTTTCTTTCTTTTTTAAACGACTAATTTTTGCAGGTAGGCACCTTAAGAGAACTCCAAAGGCTTTATGATGAACTTGTTCAATCAGCTGATGCCTGCCAGTTGGATAGATATTCAACTTCAGCAAAATCCGGAAGGTACTCTTTGAAACTTGTTTAATTTCACCACTTGTGATCCAAATTCAAATTGTAGGCTGGCATAGCCTATCATTAGCTTCGTGGTGAATTTTTTCTTTTCCTACTTCTAATTTGTTCCATCTAGAAGTATTTACCAATCATTCATCCTTTTGTCCGTACACAGGAGTAGGTGGTTGTGGTCTCGTTTCATCCCACAATCTTCAACCTCACCTGTCAAAGGTCTTTATCTATATGGAGGAGTGGGAACCGGTAAAACCATGTTGATGGACTTGTTTTTTTATCAGCTGTAAGTTTAAATGAATGTTCTTTTTGTTATATCATTGTTTAATTTTCTAGATATTGTCACGCTGTTGTTCATAGTCGTTGAGGAACAGTCCTTGTAAATACAATGGATCTTGGCGGTTATCAAAATTTATTTATTTCTGTTCTTGAATGTCAACTTTTCCAACTTTTCCTCCATCACATATTGCCATATTTATCTTCTAATACTTTGATTTTCATTTCTCAGACAATGCAGTTGGAGGAAAAAGAGGATTCATTTTCATGACTTTATGCTGAATGTACATAAAACATTGCGAGTAAGATGCAATTCTTGATAAAAAAAAACTTCATTTGTCATATCTGAGAAATATCTTCTTATGCGAACGTATGCTGTGTTTGGTAAAGTTTTAGGGTTACATTGTTTAACTCCCATTGTGAGAAATGTATCATGTAGTGCAGTAGATATCTGAACAGATTGTCTTACAGTACTTTTGAAAAGAGAGATTTTATTTGAAAATAAGAGCTGTGCATTTACAGTACAACTGGTTTTCATACTTCCGGATTAGGAACACATTTTTTTCAGTCAGTTAATTTTCATCTGCACATTCGAACTAACTGTTCATTTCATTCTGGACATTTGTTGCTTTGGTACTAGTTCTTTTAAAACTACCCATTAAGGTTAGCGTGGATGTTGTGTATTTTCTCAGAAGCACCAGGGTGTAGAAGATCCGCTTGAAGTTGTTGCAGGAGAGATATCGGACGAGGCAGTCTTATTGTGTCTGGATGAATTCATGGTAGAGTACTAGTATGTGAAAATATGATTGGAAATCATATCCTACTACTTGTTCTTTTGTTGTACTGATTATCCTGTCGTCTTTTGTAGGTGACTGATGTTGCTGATGCATTAATATTAAATCGTCTGTTTAGACATCTGTTCGATAATGGTATTGTAAGTAGTTTACTTTTATTTACTCTCTTGTGCTCATGGCCTTTTATACACTGAATCTATGCAGTTTCCAATGAAATTCATACAATTTTTTTTGTTTTGATTTTGATTTTTAATTTTTTGTGCGAGGCAAGTTTAGATCCTTGTTTCCACCTCCAATCGTGCTCCAGATAAGCTGTATGAAGGTGGACTGCAGAGGGATCTTTTTCTGCCGTTCATTGCGACCTTGAAGGTATGTATCTGGATGTGATCTCATCTGCTCGTTATTAGATTGGTTCAAACCAGTGATTTTAAAATGTGCTTGGCACAAAACAAGTTAAAATGTAGCCAAACCACTTGTGGAGTGACCAAATCTTTAACTGGGTTTTGTTTGGTGCTAGAAAATTTGTTTGTGTACGCATTGTGTACATGACTTTTTATCATGCTTTCCTATCTGTTATTTAGTTTGCACTTCATAACAACGGGATATTTTGGCTGTAGGAAAGATGTGTAGTTCATGAAATTGGTTCTGCAGTAGACTACCGGAAACTGACTTCGGTGAGATATCAAGTTCATAAAGATTATTCCACATGTTCAGGTGATATTACCTAATGTTTATAAATATCGAATCTCATGATTGCACCTTAACTACAGGCGGAGCAGGGTTTCTACTTTGTTGGCAAAGATTTGTCGGGATTTCTTGAGCAAAAATTTCAAGAATTGATTGGGGAACACGAAGCAGTTCCACAAGAAGCAGAAGTAGTAATGGGAAGGACATTAAAGGTACTTTCTTGGTTGCCTTTGAGGCATGTGCTGAGAAATATTATGTAATGTTGATTTTTGGATCTGACTATATGTTTTTTTAATTCCTATAAGGTTCCGCTAGGTGCTAATGGATGTGCGTATTTTCCTTTTGAGGAACTCTGTGACAGACCATTGGGAGCTGCAGATTATTTGGGATTGTGCAGTAAGTAAAGCCTAGCAGATTCGATCATTTCATGCATATTAGGATATTAAATTTAATTTCAGATAGCGATATATGACATCGTTGTGTTGAGTCTTGGGAACGGATTCAAATTAATATTTAGTACTGTTGCAGTCCTACACTAAGAATAGGAGCTGCAAAACATAAATCTGGATGTCGAACATTGGATCATACGTCCCTGTATTCTTTTTTTAATTAAAACCTCTTCTCATCTTATTCTTGACTAATACTTGCGCAGTTTCAAAATTCATGTGTCTTTTATCCGCCTATTCCTATATGTGACAAATGAATGATAGATATCGATCTTTGTCAACCCTTATAGATTTTATTTTTACTTGGATGCACAAAGATTGAAATCGTATTTCCTTAGAACTATTGGCTCTTCTTTAGTAGTAGGAGCTGCCAAACACCCTATTATGCAAATTTCGTATTTCAAGAATCAAGAATAAGTTCTCTTAAAGGTTTTTCATTTTCCTTTTACAGAGAACTACCATACCTTGGCATTGGAGGGCGTCCCAGTTTTCGGACTCCACAATAGGACAGCTGCATACCGGTTTGTCACTCTAGTTGATGTATGTTCTCTGTTTCTTCATAAATAGGTTGGCCATTTTAGTTACAACTTTTGGAATTCGGTCAGTTCATGCTCCAAATTGACACGGAAGGGAACACATCTCCTCTGTAAAATCTTTTTCAATACCTCCTCCTCTTTTTCCTGCTAATTCCCAAACACATCAACATTCCGCTTTTCTGAAATATTAGGGAATAAGATTTGTTCATATCTTTGGTTGTCCTCCATAGGATACTGCTGTAACTTCATTTGGGTTATAGCTTAATCACCATTCCTTTCTCCCCCATCATGATTTGTAGCATTTGAAATAGATAAGCTGTATTAAATTATGCTATTCACCAATGTGGCCACAGGTGATGTACGAGAACAAGGCCAGGCTTTTGTGTACAGCTGAGGGAACTCCCTTTGAACTCTTTGAAAAGATAGTGACAATCGCTGATGCCCAACAAATTGCACCTAGAACCTCTTCGAGGTCAAGGAAAAATGATGTTGCAGGGCTGTGCGTGGATAATGAATTGGGTTTTGCCAAAGACCGCACCATTAGTAGGTATGTTCCTCTGCAGAATCGATAATAGCAATTACTTTGGAACTCGGATTCTATCTTTGTACCTGTCTCATTTGTCTATTATTGCTCATTGGTGCGTCCTTTCTAGTACTACATGACAACTTTCCCAATTTTCTTGAAAATATGCACGCTTTGATTGGATGAAATTCCCGAGGTTAGTATCAAATCAATTCTGTTGATTTGGATTTAAGGGCGGGAAAGAAAATGTGGCGTGCATTATGTTTAGAAAATTTGGGTCATCAAAAGGTCTTGTTCTCCTTCACCTCTTTTAGGCATGCATTGTCTTATCCCAACCTTTTACAACTGGAACCGGAATATCTCATTTAGAATCTTGCGTCATGTTTTTGTCCTACTTTCACCATTTACAACCCCTAAAACGAAATAAGTGTAACTGAAAATAAGTGACTTTAAGGTTTCTGGGATTGAATTGGGAAGGGAATGGAAAAAAACTTGAAGAATAAGTCTATTTTGACATGACGTAGTTTTGGTTGTATGAAGTTGTCAATCTGGTTGTTCTGGATCTCTCTATATTACAACTTTGCTTTTTTGATCAAAATAATGCAACTTTGCTAGTATTGACTGTGAAACCACTGCGGAGTGCAGATTAACAGAGATGAATAGCAAAGAATATTTGGAGCACCATGCCGAAACATTGGCTGAGAAAAATTCACAGGAAGGTGTGAATCTCAATAAGATGGTGCAAGTATGATACCATAAACAAATCCAGCTTACTCCAGTAAACCTTCGTTTTGTTAACTCTATGGTTGCATTTCAAGAATCAGCATTCACCATCATTGTGTAGTTTTGAGGCCTGATTATTTCCTTGTGATTTATGTGCTATTTAACCAGGTCATCAGAATAATTTATTTTTTATTTTATATATATATATATATATATATATATAACAAACGATATTATGCTAAGGGGCTTAGCCTCACAATGGGCTAGCAATAATGTGGTTCAAATCCACCTCTGGTGAGAATCGAATACAAGACCTCTCACTTACAAATAAAGAGGAATTACTTGAATGGTAGTGTGAAAGAGTTGATAACTTTTCGTTTTCTTCAATGAATGAGCAAGGCTTTCAACTATTTATGTTTTTTAGACGAAACGATAGTGGTTTTATTAGCAACTCAAGAAAATTTACAAACTTCAAACAGCCCATCTTGGATTAAATCCGAAGGATCCTCAGACAAAAATAACCCTAAAATAAAAACAAGGCCAACATTGCCAATCTAATAACTGCTATATCTGCAGATCTTTTAGTGTGAAAAGTACAAGAACACAAATGGCACTTCAAAATCAAAAGAACTTTAATCCTCACTAGAAATTCAATCATTTTATAATCTGTAACTTGAAGAGACTTTGCGCACAAAATCGCCAGCAAAAACATGGGAACACTTTGCATACAAGCAGCGCCACCTCTAAAGAGGAATTGCAGAAGAAACAAATAATGGCCGCTACGATAGGGTCGCTGCGCAAAAAACCGCCAACGAAGCTACCAATTGCATCATGATTAACTACATCAACACCACCATGAGACATGAGCAAAAGACACAACCCTAAAAGGGCAAATTTAACACGCACAAAAGCTAAATTAAAAAACCCACCTCACAAAAATTCAGTCACATCTTTTGCCAAACTAAGAGAAGGATTGGATTGGAAAAGGACAAAAAACGATAAAGAGAATGTTGACGACCTTGTTAGGATCTTCTCCCTTAACCTTCACATTTCTTCTTATTGTGCATGTTTCAAACCGCTTATTTTCTAAATTACTTACTCTTTAAAGATTATCTCTGCAAAAAGATTTACTAAATTTGAAATCATTAGTCGTTCAACAGTTATCTATTGATAGAAGATGAATCATAATGTTTTCAGTTGAACACTGAAATTTGTTTAAAAAAAAATCACAGCACCGAACCTTTCCTGCATGAATCTCTTGCAGGCAAAGTTTCTCAAGTGCAAAAGTCAAAGCCATACAGTCGTACAGATCTCATCCTCTATTAGTCACAGACTCACATGCCAAAGTCATTTGGATTTTTTTACCCATCTGCTCTGCACGCTGTCTTTAAATCCCATAAACTGAATATCCTGCATCTGGCGTAGTTAGTTGAATGGGTTAATTGCATGTAAGGATCAAAATGGGCACCTTTATTAGAGGTAAATTCCTACCCTAAAATAGTTCTTCACGGATTTAGGGAAAATTTATTTATGATCAAAACCGTTGATATTATAAAATATTAAGTAAAATAATGTAATCAACCCATCCACATTAGCTATAAATTAACTGACTAAACGACTTTAATTTTAATTGATTTTTTAAAGAGATAATTTTACATAATTTTTAATAAGAAGGTTTCAAATATAAGAAGAAAGTCCCTGAATGAGAGTCGCAAACTATTTTTGTGTACGAATTTCCCCGCACTTATGTGGAGCCTAGTATCTCGCAAAGACGAAAAATATGAAGCAAGAGATGTAGAAATGGAACTTAAACGATAAAATGAGATTTAAAAAAAATATAAAATGTTACTTGAAATTCTTTTTCTAAATGGCTATTTAAGAGTGCCAGTTTTTTTTTTTTTTTTTTTTTTAGTACAACAATATATTTTACACTAAGGAGAGATGAAGTTCGGCTAAGCTACATAATAGGCAATCTAATTTGGTATTGAATTCCCTGTCTACAAGATTTGAACCTAAGACCTCTCACTTACAAATAATGAACAATACCACAGACCATAGTACTAAGTGGCTAGAGTGCTAGTTTTAACAGCTCCCAAAAAAGTATAAAATGTGAAAGAGTTATTTACACTTCACACCAATGTTTTTTGTATTCTCATAAAAGGTCATGACGTTTCAAAAATTGTACCAACACCTATGAAAGTCATATTTGTTTTCGAAAAGCTCATTCCATGATAATTCTCTATTTGACAAATTTAGAGTTAATTACAAGGACGTCCCTTGAGATTTATCGTATTTTTTTGTTGCCGTAACGAAGGAGTTATGTGAAAGCTTTGTAAAACCTAAGGAAGTTACATATGAAAATACAAAAAGACTTGAAGGGGTGCATATTTTTTATTTTATAATTTGAAATTTCTAGGAGTGCTAGTGTTCGAGCAAAGATTTATCTGGAGAAGGCTCCTTGGACCTCAGCATAGCTCCCCAAGGGATTGACACTTTGGATGTGTAGTTGGGCTCTTACTTGTTAATGTGCTACAAGAAGAGAATAAAGTTAGTCCTGAAAGGTGCCTTTGTGGGGTCTTAGGTGTAGGCCTTGAGACTCATAATCAAAACTAACTAAGTGTTAGGCGTGCCATTGCTATCTCAGTATAGCAGATGTAGAACAAGTGTGTTTGAAGTCGATTACTTGCGCCCCAAGTTACTCATACTTCTTGTTATCAAAGGATTGTCGTGGATGAGTTAAGTCCACATTAAGCTCTTTTTTTTGCCTTGCAAACAAGGACTTTTAGTTTATAATCTTGTATGCTTGAATGGAGGGAGTTCAGAGCCCTTTAAGTCATTTGTTTGGTCCTAGATTGCTCTTAATGGAAACATATCCATTAAACTTAACCAAATCCAGATGCAAATGGAACTCTTTACAATAGAAAAACAAGTGGAAATGACTTGAATACATGCTGGAGAAAGCATTAAGTAATAGATCTACTAATTTAGAAAACAAACAAAGAGCTTCGGGCAAGATTTCACCTTGTCGGGTAAGGTTGAACTTCTTATAAGGGAATCTATACTATGCTACTGAGGGAGGTAGCAGAGCTTTTAAACTAAACAAGAGATAGCTTCCTTAAAGGACTATCGCTAAAAAGACTGGATCTGGGTTGATTTTAGCTTTTGGATACAAATCTGGCTTGAGAGCAGAGTTTGTATGTTTGTTTGTTTAATTGGTTGAGTGTTCTTGTCTCTGTTGTCTCTTCTCCGTTATATAGACAAATTAGCCCGACTGCTGTAACTTTTGCTGTTGCCCGAAAGCACTTAGAGGGTAGTGAGTCATTAGCCTTGTACTTGTAATGCCACTAAAAAATGTTCTTTAGTTGGTAGTAAGTTAGTCTTCATCACTTGTCACATCAATTATAGACATGTGGCTTGTATCCCTTAGCTGAGAAGGCCTTAACTTGCTTCTGGGCTCGATGCTAGGCTTCGGCCAAGTCCTTTTTTAATTTTGGAGCCTTGTCGGGTTTGGTGAAATCACAACAAATATTAAAACGTGTTAGTTTAAATAACTGAATAATGTCGCGGGATTTATTATCACCTCCATTTGCGGTGCGAATATAACGCGGAGGCCTTTTTCACGCGTTCGTCTTCGTCCTTGCAATTTTGGAGTCCACATTTGGCCATTCCTTCCGATCACTGCCTGTCTCTGGCAGGCAATCAAACCCTCTCTGGTGATCACGTTGTTTATTTTATTTTATTTTATTTTATTTATAAATATTTTTCTACCTTTTAATTCGTTAATACATACAATATATATGTGCATTGCAGATCATAAAAATTTGAAAATGCGTAAGTGCATGCTTGTTAATAGGGAATTGGCATTAGGGGCGATTAACAACATAATATATGTTTGGTTTGTATGACAAGGGCTTCTGAATGAAAGTGTTTCAATTCTTGATACGAGAATTTGTACTGCCGAAGGTGTTTCTTGTTCCTTGAGGTACTATAGATATTAACCGCGATATAAAACGATCATTGTGCATTTCTTTTTCTTTAGTTTGAAACACATTTTTTTCGATTTTGTGCTTCAAATAAAGTTCTGCGTCCACACTAAAATTTGGAATGTTTTGTTCAGTTTGGTGTCGGAGCTTATTCACAGGGGATTGGAGAATTATATACATATCCTCTTGAACGGGAATGGCAGCAGGCGCCGGCAGTCAGAAAAGCTTAAGAAAAGCGTTGAAAACAGTTGGATTGGCGAAAGCCAATGGTGATTTCAAGGTAATATTAAAGCATGCGTGTGTTGTCACCTTAGTTTATCAGATTGATCACTTTATGATTCATAAAACTTGATAGGGGATATGCAATGCAGGCACTGGACATTGCCATCGCCAAGGCCACAAATCATGATGAACTACTGCCCAAGGAGAAACATGTTATAAGTGTGTGAATTGCTGTTGCTTGCCAACATGCATGCTTGTTCCGTTGAGTTTGTTTATCTATGGTTTTCATTCGATTGGATACTTCTGATCTGTAATATGAAAATTCCCACTGATAGCTAGGGAAGTTGAGCATTCAATTATTCAGTTCGGTTCTACTAGAAAAGTAGCCTCAGATTATAAACCAATGTTTTCAGACTTGTTTTTCATTGTGTTATATGGATAGGATGCAGAGAAATTTCAGCAATAAGTTTTTCCGAGTATCTAATGTCAATTCAGAAAATAACAAGTTTGCTACTCGCCTACTTTCATTTCATCTCCACTTAGATTGCTTATGTTCTTGTGTTGCCAGCTATATTAAATGCAGTGTCAGCTTCAAGACCTCGCGCTGAAGTTGCGTATTGCATCTTTGGTCTTGCCAGGCGTCTTTCTAAGACCCACAGTTGGAAGGTATGCTCCTATTGACCACCTTGCTTATTTTGTTTCCCTTTACAACTGCTTCATGCAGTGCATACATACAGCAGAAGTAACTGATAGGTTCAGGAAGTAGATGTCAATTGCATACGATAAGATTGGGTTAGTCGATAAATATATCATAGATAATCTACTAATGGATCCAAACGGTTTAGTGTTTTCAGCAGCTCAGCGGAAGTAGTTTTTCTTCTCAAATTTAACCGATTTTCCACTCTACCAATGTATAATATAGGCAATAATGGTGGTAAAATTAAAGTCATATTACATCGGATCCTTTCAGATATAGGTAGTTAGTATTGTTCATGCGGTACTAGATCAAGAAAGGGAAAATAAATGTAAACTAGAACCCTCAAGTTTTCTTTATTCAATACCAGTTTCGTATCGAAATATCAGATGAAATATCAGATTATTCAGCTAACACTAGACCTGATGACCTGCTTTTTGATGGTTGTCGTAACCCCTTGATTTCGTGTTGTGATAACATTGGAAATGTATTCAACCTGACAAAAAGAAGTATATAACTCCAGGTTCCACGTTGTCTTATTAGTTGTATATACATCTTTCTTCAAATAACTCTCCGCATATATGATCCTTGTTTCCAATGATCTCCGTCTGCAATGGACATTTCCCATTATTTGTTAATGTATGAATATAAACAATATTTGTAAGAATACAAAGAGTCTTAGCTTGCAGTTATGTATATGCCTAGGTAGCACTGAAAACTGTGATTGTTGTGCACCGCGGGTTGAGGGAAGTTGATGATACATTTTGCGACTCGCTAGTCAAATATAGCTGGAGTAGAGGTCATATGCTGGATTTATCTCATGTTTGGGATGAATCAAGTACAAGTGGTACGTACTATTCCTTTTCTTAACATTAATTTATTATCTGAAGAGGTTTTCTAGCTAGCACTGCTAAGACTGACCATTGAGGTGTGTTTTGGCATCAAGCATTGGGTTATTCTGCCTGGGTGCGGACATATGCATCATATCTTGAAGAGCACCTTGAATGTTTCCGCGTATTGAAGTATGACGTTCAGAAAGATCACTCGGTACGCAGTTTGAATAAATCATTATGTGTAAGCAAGCTGATCTTCAATATATTAAAGCCCACTGAACGTGTATTTTATGCTAAACCAACCCATCATTTGGTATGCTTAAACACTATCGATTTTAACACATCAACTGTATGTTACATTTCTTTGCTATTTTCAGATCGTATAAATGGTCAGTTTTGAGATGCTGTTACGAATAAGGGATCTAATATGTTTGATATGTCTACAGAAACCCAAGGAACTTGACACCACAGACTTACTAAGGCAATTACCCGCTTTGCAACACCTTCTTTCTCGCCTTCTTGATTGCCAGGTGCGAATCCATGCTTTTTTACTTTATTTTTGTAGTTTCATTATCCTCTTTGAAATTTGTGTCATTCATTTTTCCTGCATTTTAAATTGAAAACTGATCTTATCCGCCACTGTTGTGTCTCTCCCCCTTAAATATTTTATGAAAGTATCGATATCTTGCTGTTTTGCAGCCAGAGGTGGGAACACTATATAATGTCTTGATTCAATATGCCCTTTCAATGGTAAGAATTATCAGAACCTCATCAATATTGTTACTAGCTAGCTATAACCTAACCTCAGATTAGCTCCTGTAATCTTCGTTCTGACCTTGCGTAGGGTGTTCCTCCATCAGGTTGCAGGTGAAAGTGCAAAGCTGTATGCTGCAATTAATGGTGGTATTGTCAATTTACTTGACAAGGTGAGCCTTGGTTTTCATCTGTGCAATATGGAAGGCTTTTGTGTTCATCCTAGCTAGCTTTCGTGAAACATCAATCTAGCACTCTCATTCTATTTTCTGGCAGTTTTTTGAGATGCAGCGAGATGATGCAGTTAAAGCACTTGAAATATATAAGAAGTCAGGAAGTCAGGTATATGTTGCTCATTGCTCTTGTTGTTGTACTATTGCTTCCTTCAAAGATGTTATATCAAACTTTATATTCAAATTTGGAAACATTTTATGTTGCTGTAGGAAGAGAGGTTATCGGAGTTCTTTGAGAGCTGCAGGAGCCTTAATTTTGGACGGGCACTGAAATTCATTAAAATTGAACGGGTTGGAGTTTTCAATTTTGACTTTGTATTTCTTATGAGTCCCCCTTGAATTGATTCTGAGTGTGGATATTATCTATAACTGCAGCCCCCTGCATCATTCTTGACTACCCTGGAAGATTATGTGAAGGAGGCTCCCTGCAGTACAACGCTTCAATGTACACCGGTATGATGCTTCAACTTTTTGTTCTGTGGTTCTCATGTTATGCACTCACCATAATTTGACAAACTTATTTGATCGAAGGGAGGCTAATGTCCACATAATAGAACAATCTAAATCTTTTGTATGTTTCTCGTGAGCAATTATAACAAGTTGTAACTGCATTATATACTTCGTGCATCAAACCTCTTTCCATCAAAATTTCTCAATTAAAGAGCTAATCAACAGCATAACTTGTGATCAGACCGATGATGAGCAAGATTCTGCTCCCAAGGAAGTTGAGACGATAGAAGGTGATTTGTTAATTGACCACAAATCAGATGATAATAATAGTGAACAAAAATCAAATGAAGGCCGCCCAAAGAGTGAGAGTGAGGCTGCTGCCACATCACATGTTGTTGACCTCCTGGTATGGTAAATGCTGCTGCGTTTGGTATAAAAATGGACACTTGCATTTTAATTTCCTTCACTCATCTGTTCTTGTCATTCTTTATATTAGAGCTTCGATGATTTAACTCTGGCAACATCAGAATCGGATGAGAAAAATTCCCTCGCACTTGCAATCGTTGAGCCTGGTAATTAACTTCTACTTTTCCTTTGTTTTTAATTGATGCTATGCTACCTAGCATGTAGTGTCTAACAGTCTAAGGATAGATATACTAAAGGGTTTATTTGGCTTGTACATCTTATCACATTAGATTCCAAACCAGAATGTCTGAATACGACAAGTGCGGAGGAGTCCAGTTGGGAGGTGGCACTTTTTACAGCACCAAGTTGCCACGCAGCTGCAGTTACAGCACCAACTTCTAATGTAGTTCCAGTTGAAGAGATAAAGTCGGTAAGGCTTCCTTTCCTAGTCACGTGCTTGCACTTAGGATAATTGGTCCTGATTACAGATTTGGATTAAGGAAATCTGATAACACCAAATTAATTATAACCGGTTGTTGGAAAAAATTACTCGGAAGATTGGGGTAACATTGCTCTTCTGTGTTAAAAAATATGCAGGGTGTTGGGCTGGACAGGTTGACACTGGACAGTCTGTACGATGGTGCAATCACAAGTACACAAAATCAGAATAATAACGTGATGTACTACCATAGACCGATGCCGTCTAATCCTTTTGATGATGTTGTTGATCCTTACCAATTAGCCTCCCCATTTCACCCAACCAACATGCAGATGGCTATCATGCCCCAACAAGTACAACAAGGCCAAGTACCATTTTATGATTCGTATAGCAATGCACTTGCAATACCGCCAACCAACATGCAAATGCCTCCTTTCATGCCTCAACAACAAGCTTTCACTATGCAGCAGCAGCAACAGCAGCAGTTAGCCAACATCAGCCATAACCCCACAAATTCTTCCAGCAATCCCTTCGCTATTGATCAGAGTTATTCACAACCACCTTCAGAATTCTTGCAATGGCATGGTTTAGTTGATCCCCCAAAAGAAGTTGAGCATTTCTGATTTCTGCCCCAAGCAAGGTTTGAGTTTTGGAGTGGAAGAGCAGCGGCAGTCCGAGTCATGAAAATTTTTGGTGTAAAATAGCAGCCATTTCAGTTCATATTTTAGGCACTACTTGTGCTGCAGGTTGAGATGTGCTTCGACAGTAAATGACTTCTCTCTCTCATTTTCTGCTCTCCCTTTCTTTTCTTTTGAACCAAGACTAAAAGAACAACTTGTTAAACTTCAAAAACAAAAAAATATGAATCCAACCTGTTCGCACTTCAAAAAAGTCCTCGTGCACTGAGTCCTAGTGAAAAAAGAGAATAACAAAAAGTGCATGAGAACTTTTTTGAAGTGCAGACTGCTTCCAGCAATAACCTGTGGAACAAATTTGCAGACTGGACTTGAACTCGGCATCCAGCGATAGAACTAGCCACCACAAGGGACTAACACCCCAAAAAGACTAAACCGAACAAAGAAGAAAAGAAGAAAAAGAGCGATATAAGTGGAAGGGAAGGGCCTCCAATGGATATAAATGGAAGGGAAAGGCCTCCAATGGACCGTGCATTATTTCATCGTGCGATTTGGGAAATTTGGAAGAAATAACCAAATTTTAGGCTCCATATAAAGTTATAGCTATCATTTTAATTTTACGATAATTATAACCAAAACTTGATGTAAAAGTACTAGTATACCTTTGATATTAGGGTTTCTCATATTAAACAAAACACAACCTTTAAACTAGGAAAAATTACACTTAGAGTATACTTTCAATACTTAATTATATATTGAGACAACACCTATTAAACATTTTAAGAAAGGACATTTTTAAATTCCGCATAAGATGACGTCATGTCCGGTTTTTCCGTTAGAAACGAAATTCCCATATTCTGTTAAATAGCGATCGGCGGTGATTCAAATCATTCGAATTATATCTTCGTTTTCTCTGCTGTTTTTCTTTCTCTCTGAAGTTTATCTGTTCTGATTTATATTTCGTCATCTCCCTTAATTATCTCTCGCCATAATTTCTATTCGAATCATTCAAGCTTTCTTTGAAAGTAAGTGTTTATCTCATGTTCATCTCTCTGAATTTTATGTGTTCTGATTTAGATTTTCAAGTGTTTGTGTGTTTTTGAATTTATTTTGGTTTAGATTTTGAAAGAGTCTCTGATTTTTCAGTTTTTTATTGTTCGCATTTAGCTTTTTTGGATTGTTCTTGTTTTTTCAGTCATAGTTTTTTAGTTTTGAAGATTTTGATTTGGTTTTGAGCTTATTTGATCGAGTGTTTGGCGAAGGCGATTTTTCATTGTGCTGCTTTTGGTTTTCATTGAAGTTCCTTTTGTTTTTGGCAGTATAGTTATCATATATATTAGTTTATGCAACATCAGTTCATAGAATCGTGTAGAATCAATTTGCAAAAGTTTTATTTATTTATTTTTTTTTTTTTTTGGGGGTTGTGGGGTTGGGAACCCCCCCATAAACATTTAATTTTTTCAACGTAATACATGTGTAGCATAAGTGTAGCATCACTGATCAACATCAATTTATATAAACATTAATTCTTAACGTAATATGTGTGCAACATTATTGTGCAACATCAGTTTTATATAATCATTAATTTATAACGTAATACTAGTGCAGTATCAACTCATAGAATCTTAATCAGTTGGCATTTTTTTTTGGGGGGGGGGGGAGGGGGATATTTGTGTAGCATTACTTTTATTTATTATAGATTTACATTTTAAAATGCATTGTGCAACATCAGTTTTATATAATCATTAATTTTTAACGTAATACTTGTTCAATATCAACTCATAGAATCTTAATCAGTTGGCATAAATTTTTTTATTATAGATTTACATTTTAAAATGCATAGATATATACAATTATTTATATGCAGCATCAGTTTAACTTTATGTTTTTATTTTTCTTTTGGGTGTAGATCATGTCTGTTGTTAAAGTGTTGAAGTGTGTATATGAAAATTGTGCATTAGTTGTGCCACTTTATCCGCATACTAGTTATGAGGATTTGTGTGGGCAATTGACTTTGAAGTTTCCAAGTTTGTCATCAGGAGGCTTTCTGTTGAAATACTCTTTATATGGAGGTGAACCAAATTGTTTATTAAAGTGCAATGAAGATATTCAAACCCTTCTTCTAGTGAGTAACTTGATTTCAAATCTAGTTGTTGATGGTTATGTTCAAGTTAAGAAGGAGATGTCTATTGTTTCTACTAGTAGTGTGTTGTACTGCTGTTTTCTCAAAGAAACTGTCAGAGGGGTGTCAATGGCATGTTCATGCTGTTGTGCAACAGCCTAGTGGTTGCTTTTTCATTAAAAAAATTAAATAATATTCATACTTGCACTGGACGTATTCATCAAAAGGAGAATAAAAGGCTTGGCCTTTCTATTTTGTCTTCTTTGTTAGCTGCCAAGGTTCGTTCGAATCTGTCTATTAAGGCAAACGATGTTATGAGAGAAGTGAAAGAGAGTTATGGTCTTGATGTTAAATACCATGCAGCTTGGCATGGCAAAGATATTGCATATAATGAGGTTAATGGTGATGAGGTTCTCTCATTTGGATTTTTGCCTTGGTACGTTGTTGAGTTTGTGTGTGCCAATGATGGATCATTGTGTGCACTAGAACTTGATAATGATAGTAATAGGTTTGAAAATTATTTATTTATTTTGGAGCTTGTGTTAAAGAATTCCTATGGTGTAGACCAATGTTGTTCCTTGATGGTACGCTTTTGAAGGGAAGATATACTGGTATTTTTTTTGGTTGCTGTGCTAAAAATGCAAATAATGGTAAGTTTTTTTTAAGTTTATTAAAGTGCAGCATCAGTTAAATAAAGTGCATCATCAATTTAATAATGTGCAACATCTGTTTATTAAAGTGCTGCATCAGTTTAATAATGTGCAACATCTGTTTAATAATATGCAGCATCTGTCACATCTTGGCCCAGGCCCCCACCACATCTTGGGCTCGACTCCACTGTAGCACGATATTATCCGTAGAGAAGTGAGTTCACAGAGAAGTGAAAGAGAGTTATGGTCTTGATGTTAAATACCATGCAGCTTGGGCAAAGATATTGCATACAATGAGGTTAATAGTGATGAGGTTCTCTCATTTGGATTTTTGCCTTGGTACGTTGTTGAGTTTGTGCGTGCCAATGATGGATCGTTGTGTGCACTAGAACTCGATAATGATAGTAATAGGTTTGAAAAGTTATTATTTCTTTTGGAGCTTGTGTTAAAGGATTCCTATGGTGTAGACCAATGTTGTTCCTTGATGATACACTTTTGAAGGGAAGATATACTAGTATTTTTTTTTGTTGTTGTTCTAAAAATGCAAATAATGGTAAGTTTTTTTTTAAGTTTATTAAAGTGCAACATCAGTTAAATAAAGTGCATCATCAATTTAATAATGTGCAACATCTGTTTATTAAAGTGCTGCATCAGTTTAATAATGTACAACATCTGTTTAATAATATGCAGCATCTGTCACATCTCGGCACGGGCCCCCACCACATCTTGGGCTCGACTCCACTGTAACACAATATTGTCCTCTTTGGGCCCCAACCATGCCCTCACAGTTTTGTTTTTGAGAACTCACACGAGAACTTCCCAGTGTGTCACCCATCCTGGGATTGCTTTCACGCGAACTCGCTTAACTTTGGAGTTCCTATGGAACCCGAATCCAGTGAGCTCTCAAAAGGCCTCGTGCTAGGTAGAGATGGGAATATACATATAAGGCTTAGAGGATCCACTCCCCTAGGCGATGTGGGATGTAACAATCCACCCCCTTTAGGAGTCCGACGTCCTCGTCGGCACACTTCCAGTCAGGGATTGGCTCTGATACCAAATTGTCACATCCCAGCCTAGGCCCCCACCGCATCCCGGGCTCGACTTCATCGTAGCATGATATTGTCCGCTTTGGGCCCTGACCACGCCCTCACTGTTTTATTTCTGCGAACTCACACGAGAACTTCCCAGGGGGTCACCCATCTTGGGATTGCTCTTATGCGAACTCGCTTAACTTCGGAGTTCTTACGGAACCCCCTAAAAGGCCTCGTGCTAGGTAGAGATGAGAATATACATGTAAGGCTTACAGGATCCACTCCCCTAGGTGATGTGGGATGTAACAACATCAGTTTATTAAACTGCATCATTATTTTAATAACGTGCAGCATCAGTAATGTTTATGTGTAGAACCTATTTTTTGATATAATTATTAATTTTTTTTATATACAGAGATTTTTCCTGTGTGTTATGGTATTGTTAACATAGAAAATGAAGAGAATTGGATGTGGTTTGTTGAACATTTGGCTCAAATTACCGATGAAGGAATATCACGTTTGTTACTGACTGACATCATGGGCTTTTGAATACTATTCGAAAGTACTTCCCTACTGCTTCTCATGGTTTTTGGATTATACATTTGAGGGAAAATTTAGAGAGGCGATGTGCAGGTAATAAATTTTTTAAGGATAAGTTGTGTGAATATTTCAAGAATTGTGCATATGCATGTAGTGTTGAAGATTTTGATAGGAATATTGAGAAAATGAGAAGTGTTGGTGTGAGATATTTCTGATTCATTTTTAGATGATCTTCCAAAAGGGCATTATTCTATTATACATTTTCGAGGAAATCGGGGTGGGGGGGGGCAAATGAGTAATGCAACTGCAGAATCATTTAACGCAATGATTTCTGAAGAGCGTCGGATGCCTATTTTTGATTTGATTGAATCAATCAGGGGGAAGTTGATGGTTTTGATGTCTGACAGGAGACGTGTTTTAGAAAAGTGATTTTCTTTGTTATGTCCAAAAAAAGAAGATGATCTTAGAGGTTTTGTTCAAAAGGTAGTCATTGGATTATTAGTAGGTCATCTGATGATGTGTTTGAGTTTCGAGGGGATAGGAACTCTTTTGTTGTTATGTTGGATTAACACCAGTGTTCATGTGTTCAATGGAAGCAAAAAGGATTCCTTTGTGCTCATGCATTGCAAGTTATTCTGCATGGTCATCGTGATATTGAGGATTTTGTGTATGACTACTGGAAAATTTCTTCTTATAAGCTAAGCTATCAGTTTCCTATTGTCCCTGTTTCTGACTTGAACAAGCCCACTTTTGATTTACTAAATGCTCCTATTAAGCCTTCTCTTACAAGGAAATAAGGTGGTAGACCACATATTCATCGT